TGGGGTCACAAAATGGCAGCAATTTGAGGAGACCTCAGGTGGCGGGGGAAGTGGACTGGCTGGAGGCGGTGGTGAGTGCCTCCGTGGGCAGGCTCCCCTCACCGGGCGCACCAGGCTGGGCCCACCCAGCAGACCCAGAGGAGGGCTAAGGAGAGACCTTGACCTGAGAAACAAGCCGCCAGGATTAACAAGGAGCAGCCTTTTCAAATGAAAGTGTCTGGACCTGCTTGATCACCTGAAAGCAAAAAGCACCCCTTCCTGCCCTGTGCCCCCCTCCCCCCAGGTAACACCATTAAGGGCTGTCTGGGCTCAGTGACAGGGCAGCCCCTGGGGGGCACTGCCTACTGCCACTGCGTGCATTGGAGGTTCTGACCCTTCTCTTTTTAGCCCCCCCCCGGGAGGTGAGGAAACTGAGGCAGGAGGCCGGGAGGCCTAGCCACACCCAAGTCCTTGCTCCCAGCGCCCTTGTCCTTCCTGCAGGGGAAGAGGGGGCCTGGAGCAGAGGGGACTGGGTTGTCCTGGGCCCCTAGGTCGGGGCCCTCCAGGGGCAGCGCAGGCCTGGCCCCGGCCATCCTGCCCTAAGAAAGGGCCGCTCCTCGCCCGCCCGCTCCGCGCGCTCGCTCCCGGAGCCACCCACAAACACACTTGCGCGCCTCCTGGGAACAGGCGAGGCAGGAAGGCAGGTCCCTCGGGAGCCCGCCTGGGCGCTGAGAGGCCTCCAGCCCTACGCTGGCTCTGGCCTGGGCCTCTTCTGCTCCTCTGTGTCATTTTCTCTTGCTGCCTGGATGAAAAAGATGAACACTCTCCTGCTTTTTGTTCAGAAGACGTTCTGAGCTGCTGGGACGTGTGTCTGCTTTCGCTGTTTGAAAACAGTCAAGTGTGGCTAAATGCCTCTGGGTTCTCTGCATTACGTTTGTCTCATCCTCTCAGCAGCCTTCTGAATAGGCCTGTGGTCACCCCATTTTATGGATAAGGAAACTGAGGCATAGAAACTACAGCTCGAGGCCCCCAGCAGCTCAAGGACAAAGATCAGTCTCTGCTCTCCTTGGAGGCCACAGGGTCCCTCGCAGGCACCAAGCCCTTTCTGCGAAACGCCTGAATTTTTACCCAGAGTAACTGGGCACTTGGGGCCCTGCCTGGCAGGTCCCCACAGAGTAGCTGCCCCCCAGGGAGCCGCCCACCGGCAGTGCCACCCACAATGGCACCACAGCAGGCAGGTGGGTCTGTCCTAGGAGGAAAAACAGGGTAGGAAGGAGAACCAGGCTGGGGTGCCCCCAAGCCCAGTTTCTGCCGGGGGTAAATACGCACAGTGACTTTTTCTGGGGTAAAGAATAGACTGGAAATTTGAGCCCCTTTGGAAATGGGAGAACCAAGGTCAGAGTCGAGTAACAGGCGGGACACCTTCACTGCGATGAGCATGACTCAGGCCCCAGCCCCAGTTCTGACTCGCTGCTGGATCTTGGGTCAGTTACCATGTCAGACTGGCCACTTCTGGTGTTTAATTTTGTCGTCATCTCCGGTCGAGGCAGATGGGAGGCATGACCCCGGATCTCTACGTGAGAACAGGCTGTTTATAAGTTTGGTAGCTTTTGCGTCCAGATGGACTAAGAAATGTTTAAACTTTCATTTCCCAGCTGTGGGTCCCTCGAGGAGGGTGAGCTGGTTCTGCAGTATTAAAAATCTGGAGTCTCTCTTCTGCTCTAGAGATACATTTTCCGTGGCATCTTTGTTCCAAAAAAATTCTGTCAACTTTGTGGGCAGCTGGGACAAGCTACCCCAATTCTGGACTCCGTGATGCCAGCTTGGCACCCGCCCTTCTCTCTGGCACTGCTGCACTTGACGAGGCCTGGAGTCTGGGTGCAGGGGTGGCAGGGGTGTGTGTGCTTGGTCCCGGCTGCGTGGCTGTCTTCGAGGAGCAATGGATGACTGCCACCTGCCTCCCTTCCAGAAGGCTCAAGGCTCGCCTGCCTGCCCATGCAGAAAGGGCCTGGGGTGGGACCCGGCATCAGAATCTTGCCCCAGGGAAGGGGTCCAGGCAAGGCAGTCCCAGCCACGGGACAGGGCCACACTGCCCGACCTCCCAGCTGCAGCCACACAACCTCCCGGTCCTCCAGCCACCAGTGATCTTCGAGAAAGCAGAAACTAGCCACTGCCGGTTTTGACGTTTGCAAACCAACATTCTCACCTGACTCACGGGTCCCCCATTGCTTTGCACGAAAGTAGACACAGAAGTTCCCAAGGCTAGTGAGCTCCTGAGCCCTCCGATACCGGTCACCAGCAGGAGGTCGGGCGCTTGGATTGGAGTTAAGCTCAAGGGTTCACGAAAGGACGATGCCCAGAGCAGCCCCTATAATGCACCCAGGCCTGGTTTGTGAGAAGGATGTGTGGACGGGCCGGCGCCAGGGACACAGGGCTTCTAGTAACACTGGCCCTGCTGCCTCCCGCTGAGGGATGCCCAACGCAGGACTGGCCGCCCCATGTGACCTGAGCGTGTTCTCCCTTCAGCCACAGTGGAAGTCGGGGTATCGGTGAGCCCCTCAAAGGAGGGGCTGACTCTCCAAGTCCCAGGCCCTCCCCGAGAGATGGGATGGCCCAGAACCAGGCCACACTCCTCGGACAGCCAGGGGCTGTAGAACTGACCCCCAGGGGCCCTTTCTGGGCAGGGGAGACCTGGAGGTCAGCCATCACTGGCCCCAGCTGCAGGAGCCGGCTGCCCGCACTGTGGCCGGTCCCTCCCAGGGTGCGTTCCCTTCTTCCGCTGAGGTGCGCCTCTGTCTTGCCTCTGAAGGGAAGGTGTTGAGGGGTTCTGGCTGAACTATGGATGTTCCAGGGGCTGCTGAGGGGGTCTGGCAAAGACCTCACTTGGTGGTCTGCCCTTCCCTCGCTGGCTCTCAGGAGTAATTAGGGTGAGGATGGGGGCTGTTCACGTGCCCTGAGGCCTAAGAACAGCTCACAGCTCCAGGCCGCGGGGTGTGGGGGTGTCCCAGCCATTCCCACAGCCCTGGCAATGTTCCCCAGCAGGTCTGCCATCGTGCAGAGCTGGGCTCTGGTCTGGTCAGGTACCCAATAGCCAAGTGGGGTACATTGACTCCCAGCCTCAGTCCTTGGGGTGTCCTTGGGGCCATGGGCCTGGAGAGGTTCCCTCAGGACTGAGCAGGGAGGTGGTAGGGTGACATCTGTGGGTAGGACGGCTGTGGCAGCGTCGGGCACGGGACCAGAGGCTGGGCACCCAGGTCCTCTGGTGCAAGGAGTCTTCTGGGCACCCAACTCCTCGAGTGCAAGGCTGGCGAGAGTCCCAGTGGCCACTGAGCTCCTCCTGGGCGGGGCTCCTGCAGCCTGGTGCGGTCTTTGTTCTTGATGCCCGGCACAATCGCAGGCAGCCCTTGGGTTTTCCCAGGGGCAGGAGCCACCCTGCCTCATGCGGGAAATGGATCTTGCCCATCGTTTCCAGGCTCCGAGCAACTCCAGAGAGCACCATGGCCCTGGGTGCACGTGGGCCCCAGTGAGGGGCAGAGATCACAACCAGGCACAGGCTGGAAGCTGCAACCTGATTGATGGACCCCACCGGCCCCACCCCCCACGGGTCCTACCGACCCAGGGCTGGGGCCCTGCTGGCTGTGGCTCAGCCGATCAGTAGCAGCCTGGGTCCCCTCCAAGCTACTGCCTTGCACCTTTGCTGTTCTGGGGCTGAGTAATTAACTCCAGGCCACAAGGACTTGGGGGACATTGCTGGGGCTTCCTGCAACCCCCCAGTGCTTGGGGCTGTTTATTCTCTGAGTTCCTGGGAAGGGGAGGGTCCAGCTTCCAGTCCCGAGACCGAATGCTGACTCACACCGAAGGGGAGGAGTGGAGAAAAGCCAGGCCAAGTTCTCCCCCCCAAAAAGGGAGGGTAAAGGGTGCCCTGTACACCGTGCTCCTGCGTGCTGGCTGCCAGCACATGCACACTGGCAGGGCGGTGGGTGGCGGAGACGCATCCACAGCCTTTCTGGGTCCTGGGCTTGTGTGTGCTTAAGCTCCACCGTGCTTCTCAGAGTGAGTCTGGGGTCTGCGGCCCCCTGGAGAGTGTGAAGATTTCTGGGCCTTCCCAGTCTGTAAACCAAGCCCTGAAAGAGGCCCAGGGGCCACACCTTAGGGTCAAGTCCCAGGCACGCTGGGTGGGGAGGGAGCGGGCCGGTGGGTGGGGAGGGAGCTGGCCGGTGGGTGGGGAGGGAGCTGGCCGGTGGGTGGGGAGGGAGCGGGCCGGTGGGTGGGGAGGGAGCGGGCCGCAGGTCCAAGCATCCTCCCTCGCCCCCCCTTGGGTTTCCTCCTGGACAGGCTGGAGTGGGTAAGGGGTTGGTATTTGGGGGTGAGGGGATAGAGTTGAAGGGGCCACCGGGAAAGCAAGAGGCAAGTGGGGAGGGAGATAGCTCCAGGCCGGACCTTGGTGTGTTCTTTTCCAGAAGAAACTGGTTCCCTGCCAGCAGGCTCAGGAGATGGCTGGGCGGTGGGACAGGGCTGGAGGGAGGTTGGAGGCACCTGCGGAGTCCTGACAGGTGGAGGATAGAGGACTGGGGCTGGGGGTGGGGTGGGGTGGG